TGGCCAGCTGTGTGTCGGGGAGGCCTGGGGCAGGGTCAGAAGTGGCTCCCTTCTGTCACATTCACGGCACTTCATGAAGGAGGGCAGGAGGCCAGGTCCTCAGGTCCTAGGATTCAGGACCAGCCACTCTAGTGTTCCTATCATTTCCACCCCCTAATGGCCAGCCCCTGAAGGCCTCAAGTAGCTTGAGACAGTTGTAACCTGAGCTCTGGAGTCAGACCACCTGGGTTAAAACCCTGGCTTCATCACACATTGGCTCTGTGGCTTTGGGCCATTACTTTACCTCTCTGCACCTTGTTTTACCTCTAAAATGGGGCTGTTAGGTGACTGTGAGCTGTCATTAGACAACATGTGTAAGACACCCGCATGTAGTAGATGCTCAGTACATGTTAATTGTCCCATTAGCTTCTGTGTCCCTGGAAATCCATATTCCTAACAGCTTTTTGCTGAGTCCCACTTTGAGTCCACCAGCAGCACTTCTTTGCTGGTGGATCCCTAAGTACAGTGGACGTTACCCTCCCTGCAGTAGCAGAGGCTACTTGGCTTGTGCATCCTGATGCTTATGAATGCTGGTGGCAGCTCTGGTAGAGGCCCTGAGCGGAGGCCTGACCGTACTCACTACTCCACTGACCCCAACCCCTTGTTTCCTGGACTGCATGGGGCATCAAGAAGTTGAGGCCAATACTTGGAGATGATGAAAAACTGTTAGATGAGAATTTGATACACACTTGAAGCTTCCCATCCGCCCATCTGATCATGGACTCAGGCCATGCTGGGAGGCATCAAGGGGACAAAAATCAGAGGGAGACTGACACTCACTTGTCTGTGGCCCTGGGCAGATCCCTCCCTTCTCTGAGCCTCATTTCCTCATCTGGAAAATGCTCAGAGGTTGACTCTCATGACCATTATGGACTCTTTCCACCTGAGCATTTCTGAAGTCTCTAATGGATAGAAAAGAATTGGAACCCCAAACCTCCACTTTGCCACCAAAACCAAGTGAACAACCCAAGACAGTCAAGATCCCTAGGAGAGGGCTTTACCCCTCCCAAGATGCCTCCAGGCCAAGAGAGGGGTATGTGATGAGGGCATCCATCAGACTTGGCCTGGCAAGGGTGCTGCTGGGTAGGGCACCCAGATCTGACAGTCAAACCCTACCTCTGGCTTCATCAGAGTCAAGAATGGCCTTAGAAGTGAGGTGACCATGGTCTGCATAAGGGGCTGGGAGCTCTAACATGGCCCATCAGTATGGCATGATTCATGGAGAAGTTTCCTGGTCAGGTGAACCCCCTAGAGGATGTTCTGGTCTTAGGACCTTATAAGCCCTGTGGCTTTGAAAGCTGCCTCCCTCCCCTGACCCAACAGGATCTACAGCCCAAGGGGCCACCCTGCCCAACCAACCTGCAGAGGGCAACTTCTTCCTTAGGGCCTGACTTTCCCCCAGCGAGACGACAAGCACCTGAAGGTGGATCCTTGAGACCAGAGCAGCCAGGGCCCAGGTTTACCCCAGCCCAGCCACAGGGGACCAGAGGCCCAGACCAGAACCACGACACTGCCTGAAGGCAATAAAAACCCAAATTCATGCTTCATCTCAAAAGTCAGTTTTTTATTATCGGGGGCCAGGGCCCAGGGAGGGGAGGTCGTTGAGCTAAAGCATCATTGCTCTCTTTCCAGGAAATGTTGTGAGCTGCAGTGAAAGCTCGAGATGTTGCATTTTTTTCAACTCAAGCATGTGTTTTTCAAAAATATCATCCTTCCCCCCCACCCCACTAATTTTAGAATCAGACCAAAGCCAAGCTACTGTCCTCTGTTTCTGTTGGGAAAATACTATATTTATTCGAGATGCAGAAGTGTGTCTCTGCAAACCTCCGACTGCTTCAGGAAAACAAATCTGCTTTAGACTATACAGAAACCATGATACAAAATTTATTTCATGCTAGAATCGCTTTGCATAACATTGGGCATGCAGGTTTTTACTCTGAAGTACTAAATTGCATACGATGCCAGGTTGTGCCTTAGTAAAGGTGGAGGAGGGTGCTCCTCCCGTGGTCCTGATCTTTTGGTGCTCTACATCCTGGTTTTAATGGAACACTTGGAAAATCCATATGTGGTGATTATTTACTATGAACAATTTGTTATGAAAGTTGGTCACACTGGATCTACACCAATAAGATGAGAGAATCAACCTAGACTAGCTGCTGTCAGGGGTCTTGGGGAGATGTCCGCTGGGTCACAAGCATGCCAAACGGGGAAGAAGGCAGCCGTGCGAGTTTCCACAATTCTATTTGGAGCAAAGTTCTCAGTTTCCACGTGAGAGATGAACTATGAAGGTGAGGTCAATATGACCGATGACTGACCAACTGCCCTTTTTGGAAGCTTTCCTCTCGATCTTGTGTACAAAAAGGAAGCAATCCATTCCCCATCTCCGTCCCTCCTCCCCTCGCCCCTCACCCCCAGAAATGTACAGGTTTCTACCGAACGCTGTTACAGTTTGGCTCCAACAACGTGTGTCAAAGTCAAGAGCTTTGAAAGAAAATAGAGGGCTTTTGATGTTTTTCTTTTCGTTATTGTTGTTCAGGGTAATCATACAGTTGCAGGGGGTTGGTGGGTTTGGTTTGCTGGGTTTTCTGTTTAACTTCATGCAAGTCATGCTAAGGAGCCCCTCCACCCCCCCTCCCCAAATAAAATAAAATTTTAAAAAATGAAAAGAAGGAAAAGAAATCCTCTACGGTCAGTTACCATTTGGCCGTAGAAAAAGCTACGTCCGTCCTAGTACAATGCCTGGGCCACTCGGACTCGTCCGGCAAACCTGCATGGCGTGAATTTACTCTGTCCGAGGGTGAGGAGGGGCTGCAGATCCACCCAGATGCTTAATAGCCACCAGTGTCCTCGGCCAAGCCGCCTGGTCAAGTCACTCTCACAGCCTCTGTCGGCATATACTTAGCAATGACAGGGCTTTCTTTGCAAAGATCTGTATGTAAAGAATACAATTAACACTTGAGCTTCTCTTCTTGGCTCTCCCATCCCGCTTGGTACTTAGTTTTTAAGGAGGAGGAGGAAAGACAGAACAGCCGCATGCAGAGGCAGGCAGATTCTTCTCCAGCTGGCTTGGTTTGCCCATGCACTGAGCCAGCCTAGCACGCCTCTTTCTCTCTCTCCTGGGGGAATGGGATGAGTCCCTACTTCTGCTCTGCACATTGACTCACACACCTGCATGCCTTGTGGCTCAGAATTAGCCTGAGAAAAACAAGTCCTCGGCGGCTGTCATTGCTCCATGAGAGTGCGGGCCAAATGGATGTGGGTGGGAACACTTCACCCTTAGCGCCTTCCAAAGACTCTGGCACCTAAGCCTCGGTGGGACTGAGGAATGGGTATCTCCTATGGACCGTGCTTACCACTGGACTCCCAGCCACTGCAGGGAGGGGGTCTGCTCCTGTCCCACACTCCCTGGGCTTCCGGCAGCACAGTAAAGAGACTGTCCTGCCTGCTCTTTGGGGCCACACCAATTGGTCTAACATTCAAGATGACGGAGACAGAAAGCCCACGAGAGCTTCCTGGGCAGGCACGGACACTGGGAACCATCTACCTGCTTTTCCCCTCACTCTTTGGGTATTCTGCTTCTGGGGATTCTAGCACCTCTAACTGGGAAAAAGCCAGTCGCAAACGGGAACATCAGGCCCATCCATGGCCGGTGCCAAGGATGGGACCCTCCTGAAGGCTGGCAGCCCTCCGCCATGCAGCACCATGCAGGGAGTTGCATACCGTGCCAGGGCCCAAAGGACCGCTGGGCAGGGCAGAGAAGCAGAGACCAGTCTAGACCAGGTGGGCACAACTAAGCACCAGTGACCAGAACCATGTTCCCTCATCTCTGTGCGGGCTGCCTCTGCTCTTCTCGGTTTGCCTTTGCTTTTGCATTCTGTGTTTTCTCCTGCATATGGTTTAATCACTTCAAATACTGGAGCAGTTGTGAGTGACCATAGGCTGCACCAACTGTTGATTTCAAAAACCCAACTCCTTTTCTGACCCAGCCTGCTCACCCCGGTCAGCATGCATCTGTGTGCGCGTGTGAGGCGCTCCAAGACATGCACGAGCTGCCCAGCCAGTCTGCTGCACCAAGAAAGGCGTCCACTGCCTTCTAGGTCCGGGCCAGTACCTGGAGCCTTGAGCTCAGGCGCCCTGGGCCCCCACCCCAAACCTCTCCCCAGCCCGTGCTGAAGCTCTAGGAGAAGCCTTTCTCTCCAGTGGGGTCAGCCTAGCGTTCTGACTACAAGGAGACCTGGAACAGAGGCCACCAGTGGCCTCAGCCTTCACCAACCACAAGAGGGTGCTGACCACACCCAGGGCAGAAGCTCATGGGTGCTGGGGATGGAAGGCGCTGCATCGTCCTGCTCAACCACCTTCTCTTGTCAAGTTCTTGATCTGCCACTGGCAATATTCTGACTACAAGGACAATGGCCTTACTCCCAAGCCCTGAAGACATCGCTCTCTTCTTGCCTCTCCTCCCTCTGGCCTGTGGGTTGATTATCTTTCAAGGATACCTCTTCCATGCCAAGAACATGGATCTTGGGTAGCTAAGTTCACAGGGTCCTGGCCCACTCCACTGCCCTCCTCAACCAGGGGAGAGGAGAGATCACTTTGCCTTTGGGACCTGACCTGCCATCTGCCAGAGCAACCTAGGGGAGTCAAGGCTCCTCCTGCATTCCTGGATACCCCCTGCCTTGGGGTCATGGCCTAAAGTCAACCTGTCCAGTCACCTCTCAACTCCCAGCTCAATACCAATCCACAGCTGCCAGGGCCTCAGGTTCTCTCTGCGAGCCTGACATCTCACTTGGGGGAAAGGACCTCAGCCCTCCAGGGGCCGACCCTGGCAGACTCCCTCCATCCTTGCCCCCCTCGGTGTGCCTGCCTGCCCCTCAGCGCCCTTGCCCGCCGCCCTCCCCACCCATCTGCAGGAGCGCGAGGCGGCCCGGACGATGCACAGTGCTCCAGCTTCCTCTACATACCCTTTCTCATTCCTCCACCAGGTGGGCACGCGTACTCCCCGGTTGATAAGAGGAAGCAGGGTCCGTATCTCTCGCGGGTGCCCGAGCGCGTAAAGGGCAGGCCCTCATCGGGAGTGAGGGCCTGGTCTATGTGGGGGCAGTCTTCGTTCGCCAGCGCGGCCTTCGCCACCTCCCCATTCAGTTTGGAATCTTCAAACATATAAGCAGAAGCTATTGAGACACTGAAAACTGTTTAGTGGGGGGCAGGGGGGGACAGGCCAGAAGCGGGGTAGTGGCAGAGGGCAGCTCGAGTGTCCCTGAGGACGGAAAAGCGGGCGGGCTGTGGAGGGAGGAAGGCACAAGGCAGGGGGCTTGGGGGAGTTCAGCTCATTCAGGCAGCCTTCGGGCTGCCCACAGTGCTGGGAGTGGGGACTCCTGGGTTTGCTCAAAGTTTGCAAAAAGATGAGTTGGTGATGGGCCCAGCAGGTGTGGTGCTGGGGGTCGGCCCCGAGCCCCAGGCAGGGCCGATGAAACAGGATGGTGTGGATGCAGTCATGGGGGGAGAGCCAGACACACAGCTCAGGGAGAAGACAGACACTGACACGCAGAAACACTCCAGCCCAGAGAGGGGCCTTTCCGGACCCCTCTGCTGCTGACCAGAGCCCGGCTGCCTCCCGTCCGCAGCCAGCCAGTTGCTTGGGCTTCCCTAGCCCCGTCCAGACCACCTCATCTACTCTACCCCATCTCCCATTTGGATCTCATCTGATCACCTGGTTCACACCGCCCCCACTCCCCATCTAATAACTCAGCCTGCGCCCGCCCCGCCCAACCCCGTACAGACCCAAGCAGGTCACTCTGTATGCCCTGTTCCCCGTACAGATTAAGCCTGGTCACACAGTCTACTCTGTTCCCACACGGACCTGGTCCAGTCACTGTATGCCCCGACCCCCATACAGACCAGTCCTGGTCACACAGTTTCCTCTCTGCCCATGCAAACCCAATTTGACCACTCCATCTGCTCCATCCCCCACACGGACGGACCCAAGCTGATCACTCGGTCTGCTCTGGTCCCCACGCATATCAAGCCAGTGTCTTCCACTCCATGCTGCCCCCAGCAGGCCTGGTCAGCTTGCACAGGCACCACAAGGATGTATGCATGAGGCTGTGACAGCAGGACATGGATTTGGGAGGGGCTCCCATTCCTCTGTCCCCTCTGGTCAGTGTCCCCGGCAAAGCAAGGCAGATGAAGGTGTAGAAGACAACAGCGGCTGATGGACTTGGGTGGGGGAAATTGGAGTTCTGACCTCTGTGGCAGCCTGAGAAGAAGCCTGGGAGGAGGTCTGGGAGCACATTTGGTGGGGGGCAAAACGTGGCCAGAGCAAGGAGCCCCGTCTCTCCAAGATCTTGGAGCAGAGCCGTGGAAGCCTCTGGAGCTGACAGAGGTAGCCCTAACTGGTCTTTGCCCCCATCCCATCACTCTTGAGGACCGAACCTGCCCCAAACTCTCTGCCCTCAAAGCAGAATCTTCCTGGCCAGGGTGGAGCCAACTCCAATACTTCATCTAGGGTGAGAGCCTCAAGCACAAGCCCTTTTGTGGAAGAGGGAAACCAACTTGGGCATGACCACGTTAGGGGAGGCTCTCTGAAAGAGTAGACAGGGCGAAAAGGCTGGAGACAATGTCCACCCGATTGAACACTCTCCCGTGATCCTGTTCACATCATGTAACTACACGCAGAAGTGATCCTTCCCCACGTGCACACACTGGGCGTGCACGTGGGTGGGATCACCACCCGTGTACACATCATGTCACTACAAAGAGGCAGTCAGTCAAAAGAGAAATGGACCAATCAGGTTTATTCGTAAAGCAAATCCAAAAAAATCCCATCATAATTTTGGAACTTAAAAAAAAGTCTTTCGTACAAGATGGCAAAGCATTTCACGTACAGTGCGTTTCTTGACAAATCCCAGGGGCTTCACTTCCCAATTTACTCTGAACCAAAAAGGCCAGTTGCCAAGGTAACTCTGACACCATGTGACTGGGGCCGGGGCATCTCTGGGGTCTGGGGGCATGTCTGCAGGCACACACATGTGCTCACAGACACGCTGGTCCTGCCTCCCACTCTGGCTGGCCCCGTCTTCCATCCAAGGGTCTCCGGGCTGAGGGAGGAGGGTGCTGGGAGAGGGGAGGGAAACATTATGGAGAGGATGCGGATGACGATGTGGGGGTTGAGGCCCATAGCACCCTGCATGAATTTTCCTCAAGGAGAGAACAGTGGGTCCTCCAGGCAGCGTCTCCTTCTGGGAGGGGAGTGAGGACTCTCGGAGTCTCTGTTGGCCATCCTTTGCCAGGGGAGGTGTCCACAGCCTGCAGTTCTTGCCTGGGGGGGATGGGTCAGAGTGGGGGGGTGCCTTCTCTCTGCCTCTGCGTCTGCCTCTGCGGAGATGGTGCCACCTGAGACCCTTCTCTGGCTCTGAATGCTGGGCCCCCGCCCACTGGCTCTGCCCACAAGCCCCCAGGCCCTGGGGGCTCCCAGCTCCCACAATCTCTAAAGGGCCCAAAGTTGGGGATGGTTTTGGGCAGGGGACAAGCAGCATCCATCAGGGATCCCTAGAGGGATGACAGCCTGGCACCTTTCCCTCCTGGGGGATTCCTGGGACACCTCTAGGGCGTGCTTCTTCTCTCAACCCTAACCTTTGAGGAGGGGCTAATGATTGGGTGGGGAAGTTTAAGTGTTGCTCTGTGAATGGGCCCAGTCCCACTGGCTGTTAGTCTATCTGTGGTTTAAGACGCTTTCAGAAACTGGGGCATTCTCCCTCCCCCACTCCAGAGGGGTGGCTGGAAGAAAGAGAAACCAAGGAGGGGCCAACTGTATAAATTTGGGAAACCCGTGAAGAAGGCCAAAGGTGTAAGCCCCCGCCCCTGTCCCGTCCTTTGGATGAGATAGTGGCTAGGAGCCTCTGTTCCCACCTGCTTTCTAGAGGCTGGGGGCCCTGCCTCCCCCAGCCCAGGGCCCCCAGGCCCCCACTAGACCCACAGGCCTGCAGTGATGAAATGGCAGCATGGAGAGCGTCTCAGAGATGGTTTCCAGGCTTGAAATGGGCTGAGATGAGCATCCGCGAGAGGGTCATTTTTTTTTAAACTTTGGAGCAAGGAGAACCCGAGGCTGGGCCCTCAGTCAGCAGAGCTGGCTTTTCTGCCCTGGTCTCCAGGCACCACCAAAGTACTTACTGTTCACACCAGCTGCGGGCACCAGAGGGGCGCACGCGGGGCTGGGGTGGGGTGGGGATTGCTGGGCGTTTCCTTGGGTTTAGCCCCAAGGGATCTGCCCAGCTGGGGACTTAGGAAAAAAGTCCCAGGCTAAATGGGGACAGTCTGTGAGACACGAGCAGGGAACAATCACGAGAACCGGCACAAGTCATGCAACAAAACGAGGAGAGAGAGAGAGAAACATTAGTGGAGAGAGAGAGAAAGACAGAAAATGTGAACAACACGAAAAAGAACACCCATGCCTGGCCCGCAGTGTCACTTCATTTCTCCGCTACTTCCCCCACAGCCCACCTGAGGACAACAAGGACCCCACTCAGGGCCCATGCTGCTGACCCTGCAGCTGAGTCCCTGCAGAAACTCTTTTAGCCCCACCCGCTGCCTAGTCAGCTCTGCCCAGCACCCTCCCCGCCCATGGATAGCACCACTCACTGGGCAGCCACTGCAGCCCAGCAGGGGAAGTAGAGGGTCTGGGGATAGGGGACTTTAGACCCCTTGGCCAAAGATAACCCAGAGGCTGCAGGGTTAGCTCCCAGGGAACCCAGGCAGGGGCTTCTCTGGGACCTCGCGGCTGTTCTAGGTGCCATGGGCAGGAAGGGAGCCCAGCCACCACCCCTCCCTCCTGGCCACCCCCTGCTCTCCAACGTGGGACCCTGCAGCCCTGGACGCAGCACCACAAAGGACTGACCCACATCACAGGAGCAGAGATGGACAAGACACATGCGAATGGGCATGGCAGGACGGAGGAGGCACTGTGGGCTGTCCAGAGCGGGCGGTCTGGGCGTCCAAATGCAGATGCAGGAGGGAGCCCCTTTCTGGGAGAGAAGTAGCTTCTCCTAGGCCCCTCAGCCCCAGGCAATCCCTGGCTGTGCCAGGGTGCCCTCCTAGCATCCCCCAAGAGGTCTTACAACCAGGTGAGAACTGGATTCTTGATACCCCTCCCAGGACAAGACCTCAGACACTGAGGCCATGCCAGCCACAGCACAGAGGAGGAGACCAGATTGTCCCTGGGACAGACACACAGACTGAGGCTTCAGGCGAGACCAAGAGGTGGAGGTGAGGGGCAGGTGCTGCTGGCACCACTGGGGGCTGGCCTGGGGGGGCGGGAGGGATGCCCTCAGAACCCAGCATGCCACACACAGCCCCTAACTCTGGTTTTAAAAGTGGAATTGGAGAACCTCAGGTTTTGGCGAGGCCACTAGACTGCCTTGGGGGTACAGTGAGGCTAGAAAGGTCTTGGGGGGCTGCATCTCATCTCTCACAATTCCCATGGGGCCACATTTACCCTCCTTGCCCCTGGCCTCCCCCTCACTCTCCCACAAACTCACCCCAACCCTATGCCCATCTAGGTGCATGGCTGCAAGTAGGAAAAAAGGCGAATGGGAAGAACTCCGGGGTGCAGAGGTGGGGACGACGCCCCTAAACACCACAGCTCCTCTTGGTGGTGGATAGCCGAGGTCTCACATGCCAGCTTTTGGAGGGAGCAGTATTCTGGTGAGGGATGAGGCTGGAGCTTCGGGGGTCAGGATATCAGGACAGCACCAACACCACTGGGAAGTGAGTGCTTGGGAAGGGCTTGGGAGCACAGCTGGGATGCTGGGGAGGCAGGAGGGATCCAGGCATCCAAGCTCCAGTGGGCAAACTTGGGAGGGCCCCAAATACTTCCTCAGTCACAGAGACTGTCCAAGCCAGAACTTTCTGGGCCCCTGAAACCTGAGACTAGGGCAAGGTGGCTCCCAAAAGCAGGGCTGGGGAGAGACTGTGGAGCCCAGGGGCAATCCCACAGGAGTGCATGGGTTTTACAGGTTTTGTGTCCTGGGATTAGCTGGTGTGCATGTCTGAACAAACACATCTGCACTCCCTGGGGGGCAGGGGGACTCCGCACAGGATAATACTGTCATTGTCCAAGAGTACAGAGGAATCTGGGCCTGCCTGGAGAGCTGTGGGGATTCTTGACTGGCTGGCCTGGGGCAACCGTGCTTGGGGCAAAAATCCTGAAAGATCCAGTGTTGGGGAGGATGCAAAGGAAGGACTAGGTAGTGCCACAGTGATGCCACTCAGGCTGAGCTCTTCTTGCTAGGCCCACATGGAAGCTGGGGCTTGGGCCAGCCCACACCTTCCCCCTAGAGGCCCAGAGCCCTGTTGGCAGCTCCTGAAATCAAGTAACTAGCTAATCCAAAGCAGAGAGCTCAGAGCTGTTTCAGCCTCAGAGACCCCTGCCCACCCCTGGCCATGTTCCTCTCAGGCACCTACAGAAATCCCAGGAAGGGGAGGGTATGAGGCAGGGTGAAAGGGCCGGGAAGCCCCCATGGGCAAAGAAATGGGCCTTGGGCGTAGTGCTCGGGCCAGCATAGCTGTGGGATAAAGCCAGGAGAGGATCGGGATGGGGTGGTGGGTCAGAGAGCGTGATAGCAGGGAAGAAAATCATTCGTCCACTGGGAGAGGCCACCCAAACCAGGGGGAAACTTCCCCACCTGGGGCTGAGCTAGCCACGCAGCCTCCTGCCAGACCTGGGCATGGGGAGGTCCTTCATAGACTAAATGCCACCTAACTGTCATGTCAACCTCCCGCTCACCCGGCACTCCTTCTTACTCAGTGCTGTCATTCTTCTCTGGGTCATCTGTTCCTTTGAAATCCCTGTGTCCACAGAATAAGTCGATGGTATTCCATGGGTAGAGGTAGACTATGGGCTTTATATCTTCGGACCAGAGCCCCATGATCAACTTTATGTGCTATGTGCAGGTTCTCATAAAACTGAGATAGTCCCATAACGAACCACTAGCCATGGAATATTAGAATATATCCCACGGTGACTAGTATTGTTTCATGCCCCCCTCCCCCCTCCCGGCCCCCAGTGAATTCTCGGGAAAGTGGTTGTACGCTGGTTGGGATGTCTATATTGCTGCTGCAGTCCCTACTGCTGGAAACGGGGAGAACCCTCGGTGGGAGGCTGTTGCTGGTCTGTAGCGCTTTCATCTAAGCTGCCCAGGGTGGCGGCCCCCTCTAGTCCTTTGCTCGGCAGCTGCTTCCATCAGGTCACCGGAAACTCCCACTCGACCATCAACCCAAACAGACAACGTGAAAGCTAGAGTCACTCCAACAGGTTCCTAAAGATAAAGGCTAAACTCTAGAGTGGTGGTAGAAGATGAGTTGGTTCGGCATGCTATGGGGTAAGTAAGCTTGTCACGGAGGGCTACAGGTGTCTCCTGGGAAGGATCTCGAGCTGGGCAGCCCGAATCAGGGCAGGAATTCTACTCAGCTATGGAGACAGGCTCTGCTGGGGGTGAGAACCCTTGCTCCTGCCTTTGCAAGGGACCCTCCTGCCCAGATCCCATGCACCATCTCTGCCCTCTACACAGCCTGAAGGGAGCTGTGGTAAGGACCAGATCAAAGGCTGTCTGGCATTTCCAAATCACACCCGCCCCCGCCCTGTCCCAACACCGGGTCAGTGGCCTGAGTCAGAGCCTCACGCGGGACTCCTGCCCCGCCGAGCAGAGCCCCCCGGCTCCTGCTAAGTTAGTCCTCAGCAACCTGGCGGGCCGCGTTGTCTCTTCAGAACATCAGGAGACCAACCGCGTCAACCTCCTTACCCAGGGGCACCAGTGAGGTTCCTCTAGCAGGCTCTCGCCTTCTGAATTTGGCCGCCCAGCATCTCCCTGGGCCCTCAGGCTCCACACCTCGAGACTGAGTGCGGGGTCCGGGGTCACCCACGGAACTAAGGAAGCAGTCTGACTGGATCTGGAATCATCGCTACAAGGGGCGGAGGTGAAAGGTCAGATCGACATGCCTCTAAGAGGTTTCCTACCTGCTCTGTTAATTTCTAAAATTTCTTCCTGGGCCAGCGGACATGTGTCACTCTGAGTACTGTGGTGTGGAGAGTTTACGACAGATTTACAATAATTGGGAGATCCCAGCTGCGGTGGCCGCGGAATATGCTTCTTTTTTTTCTTTGGTAGTTTCTGCTTAGCCATGGCTAAGGAGTAATACATCCCGAAATTGTTCACGATGACGGGCACGGGCATGGCGATGGTGAGCACGCCCGCCAGCGCACAGAGGGCCCCCACCAGCATGCCGGACCACGTCTGCGGGTACATGTCTCCGTAGCCCAGGGTCGTCATGGTGACCACGGCCCACCAGAAGCCGATGGGGATGTTCTTAAAGTGCGTGTGCTCACTGGCGCTGGGGTCGTTGGGCTGTGCCCCTATCCTTTCGGCGTAGTAGATCATGGTGGCGAAGATCAGCACGCCCAGGGCCAGGAAGATGATGAGCAGCAAGAACTCGTTGGTGCTGGCGCGGAGCGTGTGGCCCAGGACCCGCAGGCCCACAAAGTGGCGGGTCAGCTTAAAGATACGCAGGATGCGCACGAAGCGGACGACGCGCAGGAAGCCCAGCACGTCCTTGGCAGCCTTGGAGGACAGGCCGCTCAGCCCCACCTCCAGGTAGAAGGGCAGGATGGCTACAAAGTCAATGATGTTGAGCGAGTTCTTGATGAACTCTACCTTGTTGGGGCAGAAGACAACACGCATGAGGAACTCGAAGGTGAACCAGACCACACAGACGCCCTCGATGTAGGTGAGGAAGGCCTCCGTCTCCGCCTCCCGGTAGTAGCGCACTTGCGTGCCATTGCGAACGTTCTCGATCTCCGTCTTGTTCACGATGGGGTTGAAGCGCTCGTGGGTCTCCAGGCAGAAGGTGGTGATGGAGACCAGGATGAAGAAGAGGGAAGCGAAGGCCACATACTGTGGGGATAAAGACACAGTGTCAGGGGGAGGCCCACCCAGAGTGGAGAAGCCTGGGTTGCCTCTGTCCAGTCCCAGGGCCAGGCTGGGAGAGATGCCTGCACTAGGCCCCCTGCATCACAACGTGCCACATTTCTCTCCTCAGGGCACGGGGGACCTGCACGACCGCCAGGGCAGGCTCTAAAACCCTCCTACTCTGTCTTCCATGCTCTCTTCTTCCCCCTATTGATGCTCTCTTCTTTCCCTATTGCCAGCTAAATGTGGAAGCCCCAAGAACTAGCCTAACTACAGAGGGAAGGAGCTTGGGTCCCTGAAAAGAAAGACATCCGCCAAATACCCACATTGAACTGTTACCTGAGTGGGAAATAAACTCCCATTGTGTTCAGCCACTGTGATTTGGAACTGATTGGTTAAGGCATTTAGCTACACCCTGCCCAATAAAAGGTACCCAGCCTGCTGGGGCTGAAGTTTGCAAAGAAATAAGAGGGGATAGCTAGAGTGGAATGAAGCCCCTCAGAGGCCAGATCTCCATTTGTTCTCCCAACTCCAGGCTCTTTGCTGCTTTTTCATGAATCTGTACCTCCCTCATGTGGTCTCTTTCAGGTTCTATCCTGCCTAGAACTGAAAAAAATGTATGTCTTCCCCATGGTCTCAGACAGCTTTTTAAAATGTACCCCCTCTCTCTGTCTTCCTAGGAACTTGCACCACAACATGGTAATGAATTCCCTGTCCTTGGAGGTACTCAGATAGAGGCTGAAAGATCTTTTGTGAGAGCGACTGAGGGTTCAGGCATCAGGAGAATTGCACCAGGGATCCCCAAATGCACCATAACCCATAGGCTCTACTTGACTCCTTTCCAGCCCTAGGGTAAGGATGTGAGTGGGAGGGAGGAAGAAGCTGCTGGAGGCCTGGGGCTTCCCAAACATGTGTGGGCTCCTACTCTCTCAGACAGCACCAGTGAAAAGGAATGCCTGTCCAGAACCACCTGCTCTGGCCCTGGGCCCCCTGCAAAGAGGTTCGGGAGACCCTTTGGTTTGGTTTGGAGGTCTCATCTACTGACCCCCTGGGCTTCTCTAGCCTGCAGCAGGCATGGGTACCGAGGAGACAGAATCGAGCAGCTTTCTGAGTTTCAAATCCTCCTGCTCAGACTGGATCCTGGGGCAAGGTCTCTTCTCACGGTCTCCTACCAGGCCCAACGGGACTCTAACATACTGTGCCCTCCCTTGGCCCTGCCCTGGGCGGATGGGCCCCTGCCAGTCAGCCCTCAGGGGCCTAGATAGTCACTCCCGCCTGCATGTCCTCACTGTACCCCACTCCTCTGGGTTCCCCTTCTCCCTACCTAGCCATGGCCAAAGCAGTGCCATCTCCAGGAGGCAGCTCTGGGCTACAGTCTGTAAGGGGTGACACCTTTGTTCTCTGACCTGCCCTCATAGATCACTTGGAGGAGGGCCGAGGTTGCACCCTGTGTCAGCAGCAGGAGGCAGCTATGCTGCCTCTAGGGGCCTCCTTGTTTGCAGTGATGCCCCTCCCCGACCCAGGGGGGTGCCCTGGAAGTCCCAGAACAGTCTTGTTTGGATTAACCATGGTCACAGGGCCTGACACTCAACCTGGCAGGGATCTGGGAACCAAGAAGTATGTGGACCTTCCAAACCACATTCTGTGTTGGGGGAAGTTGGGAGCAAAGGGAAGCGACAAAGCTGGCATCGCAGAATGACGGAGTGAGAGCAGTCTGTAGACACCATGTGCTACGAATGGGGAGCTGAGGCCTAGAAACAGGAAGAGATCTGCCTAAGCTATGCCAAGGGGACACTATTAGTCCTGTTGGTTCAGAGCATTGTGCAATTTTCAGAAAACTGTCTCCTGAGCCACTATCAAGTGTGGTCCATATGCATCCTTCCTTCCATCCATCTGTCCCTCCTTTCTGTTTTTAAATTTTATTTATTTATTTATTTATTTATTTATTTATATTTTGTAGAGATAGGGTCTCTCTATGTTGTCCAGGCTGGTTTTGAACTCCTGGCTTCGGGCAAGCCTCCTGCCTTCACTGCCCCAAGTGCTGGGATTACAGGCAAGAACCACCCCACCTGGCCTATCCCTTCTTTCTTTCACCAGCGCATCATTCTCCCTTCCTCCTTTCCTCTCTCCTTCCCTGCATCCATTCATCCTTTCTTAAATCCATTCATGCACTCATCCATCCACTCATCCTCCCTCCCTTCTTTTCTCTCTCCCTCCCTCCCTTCTTTCCTTCTATACATCCATTCATTCTTTTTCCCTTCCCTCCTTTTTTGTTTTTCTTTCTCTCCCTCTCTCTTTCCTGTATCCCTCCCTCCCTCCCTCCCTCCCTTCCATCCATCCATGCACCCATCCATCCATTCCTCACAAGGCACCAAGTTCTGCCTGGCAGAGTTGAATAAGGCCTCAATCCAGCCTCAGGGAACTCCCTACCTAGCTCAGGTGAAGGATACGTTCAGAGACAAGTACAATGCAGTGGACTGAAAAGCTGAATCCTCAGCCTTATGAACTAGAGGAGACTGGAAAAAGGTCAGAGTAATTTGTGTGCACTTGAGAGAGGCAAGGTAGAGGTTTAAAGCCATGACTTCCAGATCCAGAAAGACCAGACCTGGGCACCACAGAGGTAGACCAGGAAAGCAACGTGGAAGCAACAGGAAGAGGCCACCACTCTGGCTGCAAGTTTAATGAGCTCCAGAGCTCTCTCCATCACCAGAGTCGCCAAGACTCTTGGAGCTAAAACACACATCCTGGTCTGCTGGGTATCTGGCTTCAGAGTCCCCCTAGAAGGCCCCATCCTGGAGGTTGGTGTTCACAGCCCAGAGACTCCCTGAGGGCAGGGCAGGCCCCCCCAGCTGCACCGCCTGCCCTGGCCTTTGTATGGGAGGAGAGGAACAAGCACACTGTGGGTGACCGAACGGTGCCAAGAGGCAGGGCCCATTGCTCACTTGGCTCTCAATCCTGGCTGGAGGCCGGAGGCACCTCCCCTCCTCACTGCCCTATCAGCCAGGACATCCCCTTCCCAAACCGCCCCCCGACATCCATTCTCCACTGTACCCTCTGTTCATATGGGACGCTCTCCGGGCAGGGTCACTGCCATCAAAGCATGTTTTAGACTTCAGTCTTGGCTACCAGAGGATGCTGTCAACTGGAATCCCAGCTCTGCCCATGCAGCCCACAAAGAAAGCCCAAATTTCCCAGCCTGGCACATAAGGCTCTCCACGCCCTGGCCTCATTTAATTTCCCAAGGTCCTCTCCCTGCCTGCACCCAACATTCTTGCCATGTGCACACCTCTGCCATTTCTGACCATAGAGTGGCTCCCCACCTCTGTGGTTTTGTACCTGCTGTTCCTTCTGCTGTAGAGTGCTCCTGTCAGTCTCTGTCTGGAAATATCCCATTCATCCTTCAGGGCCCTACTAAGTGGACCTTCCCCTGAGTTGAGGCTCCCCTTCACAGCCGTGGCCCACAGGAGGCAGCAACTGAAGGGAATCCCCAGGAATCTCTAAATGCACCCTAGGGAGGCAGCAAGCCCATCTCCAACTCCGGCTCTTTAGTGCCTGGGGAGGCTCATGGGAACAGCCCAGAGAGGGCACTGATGTCCCAGGAGCTTGGTAACTCTCAGGCGCCCCCACGGGCCTCAGAGCTCTCATCTCAAGTGCTTCTCTCAGTTCAGATCCCTATCAGAAAACTCAGGCCTTATAAGATTAGGGTAAAAAGTCTTTGTTTCTCAGGGATCAATGGACAGCCTGTCTAGATTCTTTCCTCTCTGGGTCCCAGTGCCCAAGGAGTGGAGGATGGGGAGCAGGCAGCAAAAGCCAGGTCCAGGTGCAAAGACCCCTTCCCCAGAGAGTCAGTAGAGCTGGAGGCCAGGCCTCTCGCCCTGCTCAGGCTCCCTGGGCGCCTGCCTTCCTGTCCTCTGCTACTGTGAGGCCTGATCTTCTCTGTTACAGGCAGAGCCCCAGCAACATCAAATCCCAAGGGACCCCTAGAGGGTTGCGGGGGAAGATGCCCCAGCCTGCTCAGACCCCAGTGTCCTCCTAAGTCTCAACCAGTAGGAGGTCAGCCACAGGCACAACTGGAGCAAGAGCAACGAAGCCCGAGGTCCCTTGTGTCCATTCTCCAGGGCTGGCTGTGCATAGGAAGGAGAGAGGAAAAAGCTCCCAAAGCTTGAGGACCTACTATGCGCCTTCAGTCCTCACACCATCTTGGTGAGACAGGGTCATATCCCCATTGTGTCAAGGAGGAAATGCAGGTACAGGGAGGTTCGGGGACTAAGCCAAGGTTTTAACACTCGTGATGAGGCTGAGACTTGGACCCAGGTGTTTTTCTTTTGTTTTTGTTTTTGAGATGGAGTCCTGCTCTGTCACACAGGCTGGAGTGCAGTGGCATGTTTGGCTCACTGCAACCTCCGCCTCCTGGGTTCCCGCCTCAGCCTCCCAAGTAGCTGGGATTATAAGCTTGCACCACCACACCCGGCTATTTTTTTTTTTTTTTTTTTTAAAGACAGTGTCTCATTCTGTCACCTAGGCTGGAGTGCAATGGTGCAATCTCAGCTCACTGCAACCTCTGCCTCCTGGGTTCAAGCGATTCTCCACCTCAGCCTCCTGAGTAGATGGGACTACAGGTACCCGCCACCACGCCTGGCTAATTTTTTGTGTGTGTGTTTTTTAGTAGAGATGGGGTTTCATCATGTTGGCCAGGCTGGTCTTGAACCCCTGATCTCAGGTGATTCATCCGACTAGGCCTCCCAAGTGTATTGAGCTCTAGAACCTAAGCTCTTGCCTCCAGAGTCACCAAAGCTCCTAGAGCTAAAATGCAGCCCCACCCACTGGAGAGCTGCCCCCGATTGTGTCTAAATGGCTCTGTCTAGGAGCTTAACAGGCACAGCCCAGAATCCCTAAGAGCAGGTTGTGCCTATGCCCAGTGATAGAGCAGGGTTACCTGGATCCAAAGACTGGAGCCAGCCACATCTAAATGCTTCTTAGGCCTC